CCCCCCCCCCCCCCCACCTTTCTTAAATGATGTAATCCTGAGGAATGAGGCCAAAGAGGAGATATTAATGCTCTGGTGTGATCACCAGAAACTCTTCTAGACAATCACTTCAGGCACTGTGAGATCATTGTTGAACATTGTGTAGGTGCTATTCGTGCATTTTTTAAAAAAAAAGAGAGAGAGAGAGACATCAGGGCAGGCACACAGATACCCCTTGGATCCAAGCTTGGCTATTACAGCCAAGTCTGTCCTGTTAGTCCATCCATGGAAATCATCACCTGATATCTCAGCCATCAAGTGCTGAATGAGTATGGAAATATCCCCGCAAAACCAACCAGTTGCACAATCAGTTTTATCCATGCTTGCCATTACATAAATATGCAGAAGGAGGAGATATGAGATAAACCAAGGTTTGAGTTTAACACTGATGAAACTGGATCATACTAGAAGTAGGGCAGGATGGGGAGGAATATTAATTTTGGAAGTGTTGTGAACTCCATTTGCGCTGAACTACGTTCACAGTTTTGCATGTCACTCTGCTAATCAAGAGGAGAACTCTTGATGTCGTCACACACATATCTTTACGTTCTTGACATTCGTTTATATAAAGCCTTTGAGAGTTACTTGTAATAAACAGGTGTTGGATTGCATGGGAATATACAAAATCCCAGCCACGTTGAGCTATGGTGGAACAGCTGAAGTACATCCTGTTTATTTTGGAGTTTATCACAATGATTGAGGACCAACTATAGGGTCACAAAGTGAGGAATGAGAAAGCAGGAGACTTTTTAGGAGAAATATATAAACCAAAACAATAGTGGAGGGTAAGAATGCAGAGCCTGAGGGGAAAGGACCATAATCTACCGGTGGGATATTTAAAATATATGTGCACATATGTCAAATCCATTGTTTTTATTCATGGAGAAGTTCATTAATTTTTCAATATATGATGATCACAGCTTTGCTTTTTAATCTTTGAATGGACTTGCAGGAGATGCAAACTCCATTCAGTTATATCTTTTAAGGTGCAAATATTTCAAATATCTGAAGGCTTCTTGGGAGAAAAACAGATTAAAAGGCCAATAATTATTTGAGAACTAGAACTTCCTGGTTCTAGAATTTCTAGAACTTTCTCTCCACCTTTGGAACACTGTAAAGCTATGTTCATTCAATGTTCTCAGCCAGGAACTCTCCAAGTACACAACCCAACCAACCCAGACATGTGATTAGTTAATGGTGCAGTGTGTCGTGCAAACCTAGAAAATTAAATTAATTGAGTAAACAGTGGTTCAGTTGACTACGGGTGTTCCAGGAAGAAGGTTAGATGTGTGTTTCTTTTCATGGGAAAGTGTGTGTGACTCTATAGCTATGTAAAGAAAAGTGAATCAAGTTAGCCTCTTTCTTAAAACAAGAGAGACCTGACCATTGCTTGAGATCTACATCTTCTCGGTCATTTTGATTTGTGCTGTTGGGGAGTGAGGGACATTGTTTATGTAAGGAATTAGCATTACCCATGCCCAGGAGGTCAGTCTAAGGAAAATCCCAAGGTTGCATAACGGCTCCTGAGTTCTGAAGACTTCAGAACTACCCGGTGAAGATTATGGATGTTCGATAGCTGTGACGTATTTGTGTAGGGGGAGGAAAGAACCATGGTGAGAAGCAGGAAAGGTATGGGGTCTTCAGAACAAGACCATGCCACACTGTAATATTTTGTTGCAGGTCCATCAGTAGAAGAAACCAAGGGACTCATTTCCCCCTGACCTCTCACAATCTACTGTTGAAATGTAGGAAGGGAATAATTTGAGCCATGCCTCTGATAGATCAAGCAGTGTGGTGACTGAGGCTCAGAAAAAGGCAGGTATCAAATGTTTGTACAGGGGAAAGGCAGACAGCATTTTCAGGGAAATCAGATGGAAAAGCTATTGCAAATTGTGTTTGAATGTTGAGAGAGAGAGAGAATACTTGTGGAATCAAATAGAACCAGCTGTGTAGAGATGAATGAACAAGAAGGGTAATGGCTCAGAAGTAAGCTGACATGGAGAAGATTCCACATTTCAATTTCCTGGTTCCACAGCTACGGCTAGAATAAACTCCTGCCTTAAACCCTGGAGATCATCTGCCATTCAAGATTAACATCTGAGCTGGGTGAACCTCCGGTCTAGCATGTAAATCGTTATTCCAAAAGCTAGACTGCTACCTGTTGGGGATGCTGAAGACATGGAAGTCTTGGCCCTTATAGTTAGAATTCCCCCCTCCAGCTCTAGTCTTAAATGAGATAGACATCTCCATAATTACCAAGTCATCTCACTGATTTCACAAAGGTATTTAGTCCAACATCAGTTCAGCAGTGTTTCCAAATAAATGTGCAGATGATTGCAGTCTCACAGTGCAATCATGGGAATAGTTAGCCTAGGGATAGGTAAGTAAGATTGCACTCACAATCAACATCCATGTTCTCCCTACATTTTGTCCATAGTAAGAATAGACATCCCTTTTTGTTAGATTCCTCTGGAATGTTAATAGCATAGATGGTCCCTCTCAAAAAATGGTAGGGTTGGTGGGTCCGGCCAGCAAGAAACACCCCCTTACCAAAGTCAAATTGGGTAAGTTTGCTCCTGGCCATCACATCTGTTCCTTCAGGATGTTCTCTACCATCTCAGCATATCTCAGATTGTTTTCTAAGCAGACAGGCTATTTCTAAACCAAAAAAACTGAGCTGTAGTTACCATACATTTTTCCCTTCTAGGAGTGCTTACAGGACCCATGTAGGATGTTAAAAGCTTGTATTTTGCATTCAGCTGGCCTGCTTTTCAATATATGTTTTTTTGGGGTTTTTTAATTAAAAGAATCAAATAAAAATACATTCACACAGAGCAGAGAGATGTCTAGTCTCCATTGGTCTCCATTGATACTATCTTGCCTATTCCTGGTTAGGATATTTTTCTAAAGCTTCGTTGAGTGAGATAAATTTAAAAGCCAGTAAGATTTTCTAGGGCTGCAAACATTTTTATGGAGGAGAACCTACATCATTCAAATTCCTACTATTCTTTGGGGTATTTTTCTCTTAACTGCTTGCACCAGACTGGAACATATTTATAGTACCTCCTAGGCTCAAAAATTGCTTTCTATAGATAGGTTATTGCCAGCATTGATTTTGAATTGGATGGCACAAAATTGCAACCTGGTGTCACAAAGAGAAAATGGATTCATTGTTTTACTGAAATTAAACTGTCATACCCACGTAACCTTTCCCCATCTCACAGTATTGGTGGTTTTGTTTACAAAATGCAAACATAAAAATCCAAGTAGGAATTATTTTTTGAAATCTCAGTCAGCAAAGCTTTTGTAAGTTCTCATGACCTTGGGTAAAATGACATGACTTCACAGCAATGAAACCATACTCTGATGCACAGACTTGCTTATATGATGTTATTTACGTAGCCTACTACTCTTGTTTTAGGGACATGTTGCTGTGAATGCGAATAAAGAGATTGATGTCATAATCTTCAGCCTTTACAGCTTTAGAAACTACTTGTTAAGCCTAAATGGGGGCCTTTGTTTAATCTTTTTAATATCTCTTCTCCTCTTTCTTTTGTTTATTCTTATTGCCTTAAAAAAAAGTTCCATTTTCAATGTGGTAGAATGAGGGTATTTTCACTGGATATTGTACTTATGTTTGACACAAGACAGTAATGTTCACAAAGTCTAGCTCAGACCTCTATTATCTGCAGAGAATTCTAGATTTGGAAGGCTAATTCGTGCCATTAAGTGCAGTTTTCTCAGCTCAGCCCAGATTAAATCATCCCCAACAGCTGAACAGCTTCTAACTGAACTACCCAATACCACATCCCTAAGTTGCAAACGTCAAATTACTGTATGTTCTGTAACTTCGGTCTATGCTCCATGTGCCCCGGAACTGTAAGAGAACAGTTCTTGACTTTCTTCTCCATGCAATCCTTCAAGTCTTGAAAAAACTTATGAATCCCTGAATTTAAAATTGATCTCTCAATACAGGCATTCCTTAGAAATGTCAAGTTTCTTCCTCTCTCTACCTCTATAACCAGGGAAGGGCTCCTTGTAGTTTATTGGAAGACCAAAAGACAGTTCCAGATTCCGTCCCTGGCCAATCTAGATAGGACTGGGAAAGACTCGAGTCTAGAAGCCTGCTAATTGATTATCTATTGCTAATCAATGCAGCCATTACAGAGCTCTATGGGCAAGACATTTGACTTGATATGAGGCAGCTTTTAAGTTCTAGTTTCTATCTCTTGAGTGATCCAGGAGACTTGGTTCAGTTCTCATTTTCCTTATGAACTAATTACATTTCCCGGACCATACTAGTGTCAGCTTCCATTTTAGCTCTCCATTTTCAGTTTGGAGACACTGTTTTGCCTACCTACAGGATTTTAGTGGGTATAATCAAGCTTTTATGGTGGAAAACAAAAAGCCAACACTGTGCCCCTTGTAGTTAGGAATTCTGTTTGTCCTTTTAGAAATGGAGTGTTTTCATACATTCTGAAAATCAAATTTTAGTTTCCCTGCCAAACTTTAGTTGCTAGATGTCATTATTTGAAAACATTTTGCAAGTAGGTCTTACTGTGCTTGTTTATATATAGTGGAGGGGAGGGGAACTTGGAGTTACAAACAGTGAGAGGTGAAATGGATTGCCAGCATTAACAGAGTATTTCAGAGGCCTTAGGGTCTCCCTCCCTCCCCCGCTTCAAATTTGCCAAAAATTCTAATGGAAGCAAATGTGGGTGTTCCATTCTCATCAGAGTTTGCAACGGGCAGACACTAATAACAAATAAAATTCATGAGCAGTCATCTTTTCCTGATCAAAAGTTTTCAAAAAAATGATGCCTGAAGCGGAAAGGTACACTGCTGAAAGTTACATGCAGACGGTAGTACTTAGATCTAAAAAGTGAGCTTACATCAGGAAATTTACTGTCAGAAGGAAAGGGTGGTGATTTGCAGTAAAAAATGGGCAATTTATGTTAATAACTATAATCGTTGGGGGGAAATGTGGGCATGTTGGGAGTTAGGACATGCTTCGGACCCCCTCAGTGAAAGAACTTCGATTAGCGGGGTCCAGAAGGCGGGCCTTCTCTGCGGTAGCCCCCACTTTTTGGAACATTCTGCCCCCGGAGGTGCAATTGGCCCCCTCACTCCTGGCCTTCCATGGGGCTTTGAAGATCTGCTTCTGCCACTTGGCCTGGGGTGGGGAGGGAATTCCTCAAGCATGGGGATGGCTAGCCCCATAGAGGACTCCTGTCTTCAGCCTCAGATTTTCCATCCTCTTGGACTCTCCTTCCCCTTTTTTAGTAATGCTTTTAACTGATGTTTTATGTACTTATATATATTATGTTTTTAATGTTTGTTGTGAGTTGCCCCTCCATCAGGGGGGAGATGGGCGGGTGAGAAATTTAATAAATTAAATAAATAAATAAACACTAAAAAAAAAAACACCACGGGACTGTAATAACATGGATAAAACAGACTGCATTTTTAGCGCTTCACACATCCTTAGTTGGCAACGTTTTGTTTTGCCAGTTGTTTGCAACACCATTTTTGTTCATGCTGTTGTCTAACAGAGTAAGGTAAATCATGTTATGTGCTATGGTGCTTGCTAGAGCTATTGATTAAAGAACTGTTGTTTGATATGTTGTCTGCCTTTTAACTAGTTGGTCAATAAACTGGCTATATTAAATATGTCTATATATTTCAGCCTCTCAGTCCTAAACTAGCCAGAGACACATAAGATATCAGTGTCCCTCTGCTTCATATTGAAAAAGCAGTTTGGGAAAACCTGTCTTCCATTTCTGCTGTCCTTCTGCTCAACCCCTTAGCTTCCAGAAGTTGAAAAAGATATAAGGAAAAATAAATCCTATTACCTATGGTATCTTAAACTGCATTTCATTAATTTCCTGGTGAACAAGGAACTGTTGTATCTTTGCGAAGCCATTTCATATTAAGCAAGAGTGTCGCTTTCATTGTTCTGTCATATTAAAAAAAAACAAAACAATTGCATAATGATTTTTGAAGAACTCCAGGGGCTTCACAAGGCTTCAGAAGTGTGCTTTCCTGGTTTAATGCAGAACTTCTGACACAACCAAAACGACAAATGCCGGTGTCTGTTCTCTTATCAACAGTCGTCTTTCACTATAATTTGGAATAGTCACAGAAGGGGCTTTTTACTCTGAAGCTATTTCCAGTGCTAAACATTCATGCCAGTATATAAGAGAGAAAGAGTGTTTTGTGTTGAGCTTGTGAAGCAGCTATAGATCAAGAACATTCCAGAATTAAGTCAGATGTGGCCTCCTACAGTGTTTTTATTTATTTATAATGAACAGGAACATCGGCTCAGAGAAGCTGGTTGGTAAGTGTTGGGTTCCTATCAGACACTGAGAGGAAAGAGTATCTTTCCATTTCTCACTTCAGTCTTAAGCAGTGTTTCTCAACCTTGGCCACTTTAAGATGTGTGGACTTCAACTCCCAGAATCTCCCATGGCTGGCTGGGGAATTCTGGG